CCAAAGTAAGAAGGCAGACAGTGCGTCTCCAAAGTAAGAAGAATCAGATAGTGTGTCTCCAAAGTAAGAAGGATCAGACAGTGTGTCTCCAAAGTAAGAAGGACCAGATAGTGTCTCCGAAGTAAGAAGGACCAGATAGTGTGTCTCCAAAGTAAGAAGGACCAGATAGTGTCTCCGAAGTAAGAAGGACCAGATAGTGTGTCTCCAAAGTAAGAAGGACCAGACAGTGTGTCTCCAAAATAAGAAGGATCAGATAGTGTGTCTCCGATGTGAGGACCAGATAGTGTGTCTCCAAAGTAAGAAGGACCAGACAGTGTGTCTCCAAATTAAGAAGGATCAGATAGTGTGTCTTCGATGTGAGGACCAGATAGTGTGTCTCCAAAGTAAGAAGGACCAGATAGTGTGTCTCCAAAGTAAGAAGGACCAGATAGTGTGTCTCCAAAGTAAGAAGGACCAGATAGTGTGTCTCTGATGTGAGGAGGACCAGACAGTGTGTCTCCAATATAAGAAGGATCAGATAGTGTGTCTCCAAAGTAAGAAGGATCAGATAGTGTGTCTCCAAAGTAAGAAGGACCAGACAGTGTGTCTCCAAATTAAGAAGGATCAGATAATAGTGTGTCTCCGATGTGAAGACCAGATAGTGTGTCTCCAAAGTAAGAAGGATCAGATAGTGTGTCTCCAAAGTAAGAAGGACCAGATAGTGTGTCTCCAAAGTAAGAAGGATCAGATAGTGTGTCTCCAAAGTAAGAAGGACCAGGTAGTGTGTCTCTGAAGTAAGAAGGACCAGACAGTGTCTCCAAAGTAAGAAGGACCAGATAGTGCGTCTCCAAAGTAAGAAGGATCAGATAGTGTGTCTCCAAAGTAAGGAGGACCAGACAGTGTGTCTCCAAAGTAAGAAGGATCAGACAGTGTGTCTCCAAAGTAAGAAGGTCCAGACAGTGTGTCTCCAAAGTAAGAAGGACCAGCTGGTGTCTCCAAAGTAAGAAGGATCAGATAGTTTGTCTCTAAAGTAAGAAGGACCAGACAGTGTGTCTCCAAAGTAAGAAGGACCAGATAGTGTGTCTCCAAAGTAAGAAGGACCAGACAGTGTGTCTCCAAAGTAAGAAGGACCAGATAGTGTGTCTACAAAGTCAGAAGGACCAGATAGTGTGTCTCCAAAGTAAGAAGGACCAGATAGTGTGTCTCCAAAGTAAGAAGGACCAGAC